TACGATCCCTTCTCCCACCTCAGAGCCGTATCTCTGGCAGGCGAATCAGATCGCAGGCTACTCAAGGAAATTATCAAGGATGCACCCTATCCTATAAAGGCCCGTAGTGTTCCGCAAGGTAACTCGTTTGGTGGATGTTTTGTGTCATTTACTCTCTGCGGAATATCGCCCCTGCTCCTAGAAAATCTTCATTATTAATTTCCGACGAACCTGTTTCTGTTTTTGCTTTAGCAGTCTGTATTCTGGGCCAGTCAGACTTGTGTCAGACATTTCCTTGCCTCCCCCCCCCCTGCTGCTACTGGCATCACTCCTCTTGAGCTTTTCATCAACCGATTGTTACCACCACAGTGGCAGGCCATCTGACGCGCATTTGCAGGGTGTGCAGTTTGATTGCTTCGCACAGCATGCGTCGCCATGTGGGAGACCTCAGCTACCCCTACTAAACACAAGTTTTATTTGCCGCCCTTCATTAAGCCGAAACAACGGCTGTTGGCGAATGTGCTGGGACATTGTAGGTCGTTGTCATTTCCTGACTTTGTACCACACCTCATCGCTCACGATGCAAGGTCAACTACGCGTCACCGAGCATCTATTACAATTTCCCCCGCCCATTTCCCTCATTAGACAACTGACCGGCTCGAGCAGTGGACAAATGTCTGGAAGTTTGAAGAGAGAGTGATGTCGGCTATCTCGGCGCATATTCCTCACCGTAAACAATCCGACGCCCTTGAAGTTACCACGCTACGCTAAAAGCAGCGTCTTAGAAGGCGGACAACTAACAGCGTAACTCAGTCTTCGCAGTCAGCGCAGTGTGTGCATGTGTGGAGTGGCGTAGCGGGGGGCTGTGAGCGAGGCTGCAATGGCTCCTTCTTAATTTGGCTTCTGTGGAGCTCCCACCCAGTAGAATCCGAGCCAGTTTGGGGACACGCCTAGGTTCCACCGTGGCCGGACCTACGTGGGGAAGAAGAAGGGAGTGTAGTAGATGCCGCGCAAGTCCGCTGTCGTTATAACGGAACTCACGCTCTAGTCACCGTCTGTTCCCACCCTGTGGAGCACATGGTGGACATCGACGGCCGAACTGTCGTGCAATTTTCCAACTACTACGAGGCGTTCAATTAACAACTCCGACCTCTTCAATAAGAAAGTTGAAAGTGCAGTGGCTGTCCTCCATTTTGCAAACCTTCAGTTAATTAAAACATCGTTCGGTGGTACTTGCGACCACTGTGTAGTCTGATATCTATTGATCCTTATTCGACGACTATGATCCTTAAAGAGATTCACCGTCAAGGGTGTTTTGATTCCATGTCTTGATTTGCGATGGACGAATTGCCCGCGAAGTTTTTGGAAAATTCTCTAAAATGAACACGGGACTGACCACGAGCTACACAAGTCTAGTGAAGTCCATCGTCTTTGGGGCGCAACTTCATTTTACCTTGAGGCAGCAGTCGACTACGTGGCGGACAGTGACAGCCGACTACAGGCGGACATTTCCAAAGCAAATGTTTTCCAAGCTCTGTTCAGGTTAGTTCTATCGCTCGTGCGCAGGCTAGAAACAGGTCAAAGTCGAGATAAACAGCCTGACTAACACCTTTGCATATCGTTGTCTTTTCAATTTTGTTCGCTCTTCCTTCCCTCAACCTTTTACCCATTGCGCGGGCAAGACCCATGAAGCCGGAACCCCACCCCCCCCCGCCCTCCCCGTTAAATTATTCTGTGTTCATCATCAGTCTCCCTTTTCATCCTTTTCGTTTTCAGAAGTGATTGCTCGATTTAAGGCGCGCATCGCCAAGATCGAGCCCTTCTTGAAGGAGATTCTAGCCACAGAGGCCGAGGAGCGTGAACTGCAGGCAGCCGAATCACAGTTGGCCAAGGCTGAACGTCTGGCAGCAGAACGGGCAGCCGGGGGCGCTGACCAGACTTCAGCGGCGCCTCCATTCCAAAAACGCACCAACTGGTTCTCAGAGAAGCGAGAGGCT